TATTCTTAAACGGGATTAAGTGATTACTTCGATATTAAATGATAAATTCTCCAAAATTAAGCTATTAATGAAGCTATTTTGATATTTCGACAGTTCATCCCTGGTAAAAATTGGCAGTAGAATCTGCGTTCCAAAATACCACAGACCTACAGCCGTGTTAGAGAACACCTAGAAAAGTGGGATAGGAAAGAGAAGAAGAAAAGAAGTCATCCCGAGGATAGTCTCGCAGGCAGCCGCCTAAAAGGCAGGGCAACAAGAATAACTTAGGAAGAGAAAGATGAAGATATGTGGAGTGAGAAAGAGTTGTTGATTGACGAAGGGGTTGAAAGGATGTGACGAAGACAGAAAGAGAGAAAAAGGAGGGGGCGCCAGATTGAGAGTCGCCCTTGAAGGAAGAATTCGTGGCGCCGTAAAGCTTAGCGCCGAAGAAGAGAAGCAGAGTACCGAAAGACGTGGCAACCCTGTTGAAGAAGTCTTGGCGCCGTAGGAACGTAACGCCGAATGAAGGAAAGGAGGAGGAGCACCGAAATGCTTAGCAACTCCGAATACTTACTCGTACTTACTTGTAGTTGTAGGAAGAACTTGGGACAGTGAACTCAGGTAGTTGGAAGATGAGACTAGATACAAAGAAATCAAGGTAGATTTACACAGGTATGGACAGAACTAAACAACTGGCCTCTGATTGGCTCTCCAGCGGCCCCTTAACGTCAGCCATTTTGGATGTTTTGATTATTTTGATTTATTATGTTCGGTTTATCGTTTGTCATAATTTTGTGGGATTTTTTGCACAATTTTGGTTATACGATATTAATTTTAGCGTTTAAACGCACAAACGTTTGAATGTTAATTTGATTGTATTTTAATTAAAAAACGGGCCCCTTAACCTACGTCACGAGGTCATGTGACACGTACTGAGGCTCATGGGAAATTTTCAACTTTTCCATACCTGTGTAAATCTACCTTGCAAAGAAATCGAGGAATGATGAATGAAAGAAGTGGGCAGAGCCCAGGTGAAACGGGTGCGGGCCCCATTGACGGGATGGCCGCGCACGGAGCGCTGCCAAAAGGCTCCATTTGAGCCTTTCAGCTGGAAATCCCGGTAAGACGGGTTAGACGTCCATGGGTCAAGTGCCCATCACGCCAAAAGGCAAAAGGTCGCAGTTTGTGCCCTTTAATTTGCCCTAAAAGGGACCGCAACGGCAGAACAGCGCCGAGCGCGCCCTGGTGGCGAATATAGCAAGCGCGGTCGCAAGTGTGCTCGCCGCGCAGTCGCCCGGGTTGCAAGGAGGTGGACAAGCTGATCCTTAACAAGCCGGCTGTATTCCAATAGCTTCTATAGCCGGCTACACAATTTCTTATAGCCTTTTATAGCCGATGACGATTAAGCAACAGCCAGGCGATAAAGAGTATGCTAAACGTTTAATTACGGATGCTAGGACTTAGTGAGTATTTGGAATACTGTTCTCTTTTTGGGCCGTAGTATCTTGATTTATTTTGCTAGGAAAGCTCCGTACTTTTGATGGATGCCTGCCATTACTAATATATTAGAGCGCCTTCAGTTTCGTATGATACTGTGCAATACCTCTGGTGTGAAATAGTTGCTTCAAGCGCCGTGGCACGCTGCGGTGCGGCAGGCGGGCAGCCAGCGCGAAACGCGCATTGGCGCCTACAAGCCTAACAGGGATACTTCACGCGTTGCGCAATGCGTGAAGTATCCCTGTTAGGTTTGTAGGCGCTAGTGCGTCGCCGCTCCGCTTTGTGTCAGGCTCTAATATTTAATCTGGTGGAGTCAGCGTTATTCAACTCATGATTTTGAAATCTTTGCACATCCTGTATGGATTATTCTCATTTTAGTTGATGAAAAAAAAATATGTATTAAAGGAAAATGTAATGTGTGTTTTATAAATATTAAGGTGGTTCCGTATCAAACTTAATGATTTCCAAAACACACGAATTTCTACACAATTTCTTATAGCCTTTTATAATCGATGGCGAAAAATCAACAGCCAGGCGATAAAGTGTAAAGCCCGGCGATAGGAACTATAGCCCGGCTGCATACTTTTTTATCGTTTCGTATAGCCCGGCCGTGTGATTTTCTCCGCATTCTACAGCTATGATTCTCTGTATCCTTCTTTAGCCGGCTATAAGAATTCCTATGGTATTTTGAAACGCAGCTCTTATCGCCAATTTTTACCAGGGATACTCGATTATTCGCTTTATATCTTTTAAATGTTAGAACATTTTTCAAGGAAAATTGAGCCCCTACTCACGCCAAGTGCATTTAGAAGAGTTGCTTGTACAAGGCTCTCGGGCGCTCTGCGACGCCTAACCATCTAAGTACCCTACCCTCCCGAAGCCCATTAGGGTGTTGACACGTCGTTATGCATCTCATGTAAAACCTCCTGTCACCACCCTTTTACGGAGCATTCCCTTCATTTCCTCTGTGGAGGGACCCAATCAAGCCTGTTGTTTGGCAGCCTTTCTTCCACCATACATGCTCATGATTTAACCGAAAATCACTTTAAAATGACTCTAAAATTGAAGTTGAAAAAACGCTTAGCAATGTTCATCCGGGATGTGTTTTTAGAGTTCTTCAAAGCGTTTTCCGGTCAAATCTTGTGTGCAAATAGCTGATTTAGGTACTACAGAGTGATGTGAAGTTTGTTTCCTGGGAATTTTAGAGAAAAATGTCCCATAATCATGGAATTATCAACTGATCGATCATCAGCAATCTTAAAAATGCTGAAAGTCCACCTTAAAAGAAAGTGATTGGCTTTAGTACCTTACATGCACATACCAAGTTATGTGAGAAATGAAGTCTATTTTAATATCATGAGGGTTCAATTGCTCGAGGTATCGGAACAAAAACTATTGAATGAGCGCAGAGTGTGAAAAACTTCTCACTTTTCAAAACTTTTAAGTGCGAGCTGAAAATATATCAGTGTGTATATTATACGTTAAACTAGGTTTCTTTGTTAAATCTTGTTGGCACTTAAGTAAAAATATTTTAAGAAATCATGCTTTAAATTCAAATAGATCAAGCTCCAAGAAGTTGACATACTCACCCTGGTAAAAATTGGTGACAAGAGCTGCGTTTCAAAATCACTGAAAAAAATAATATGCTGTCTTAGCATCTAGGATGTAAAAAATGTGTCTGGTGATCCTAATATGCTGCCTTGATTGCCCACGCAGTTGAATTTGCATTCACAGGATGTAAAATTAACTGCGGGGGCTGTAAAGGCAGTATCTTGGGACCACTAGACACATTTTTGACATCCTGGGTGCTAAGACAGCATATAATTTTTTTCGGTGATACCACAGGAGTTCTTATAGCCGACTAAAGAAGGCTATTGAAAATCATATAGCTGGCTATAGAAAGCGGAGCAAATCATATAGCCGGGCTATACGAAGCTATAAAAAAGTATACAGTCGGGCTATAGTTCCTATCGCCGGTCTTTACACTTTATCGCCATTGGCTATAAAAGGCTATGAGAAATTGTGTAGAAATTCGTGTGCTTTGGAAATCATTAAGTTTGATACGGAACTACCTTAATATTTACAAAACACACATTGTATTTTCCTTTAAAACATATTTTTTTCATCAATTAAAATGAGAATAATCCACACAGAGTGTGTAAACATTTCAAAATCATGAGTTGAAAAACGCTGACTCCGCGAGATTAAATATTGGAGCCTAACACAAAGCGGAGCGGCGGCGCGCGCACTGGCGCCACGAACCTAACAGGGATACTTCACGCATTGCGCAATGCGTGAAGTATCCCTGTTAGGTTTGTAGGCGCCAATGCGCGTTTCGCACTCTCTGCTCGCTCGCCGCGCCGCAGCGTTCCACGGCGTCTGAAGCAACTATTTCACACCAGAGGTATTGCACAGTATCATGAGAACTTGAGGGCGCTCCAACTTATTAAGAATGATAGGCATCCTTCAAAAGTACGGAGCTTTCCTCTAAAAATAAATCAAGATACTACGACACAAAAAGAGAGCGGCAGTCCAAAAACTAACTAAGTCCTAGTATCCGTATTTTGTAACGTTTAGCATAAACTTTATTGTCTGGTTGTTGCTTAATCGCAATCGGCTATAAAAGGCGATAAGAAATTGTACAGCCGGCTACAGAAGCTATTGAAAATCTTACAGCCGGCCCTAGGTCTGTGGTATTTTGGAACGCAGATTCTACTGCCAATTTTTACCAGGGCAGATTTTGCCAAGCTTCCTTCACGGTATCAGCTTGTTTCCGCAGTTCCCATCTTTGCGAAGAAACAATCCTACTCAGGCTTTAGTTTTTACTTTGTTGTAATAGTTTTGCTGTATACGTATTGTTGCCAGTCACACTTCAAACAGTCGTCGAAACGACTTTAAGTTTTGTATAGCTCCCGTATAGTTTTATACCTCTTTTGATCCTTAATTCAGGCGGAATCTTTTCATAAATTATAAAGTATATTTTTCATTTTAAAGAGTCGATTCAGCCCAGTTCTTTCATCATTCTTCGTTCATGTACCTATTGATTTTGTTGACTTATTTTTCATTGAGCATAATTTGAACGTATTAAATGGCTTGAATTATAAATTCTTACTTTCCCTCTCAATGATCAATCGCGTTCTCCCAACATAAGGCATTACAATTTTCTTAAAAAATTATTTATTCGGTTAAAAAATGTTATGGTTCGCTGAGCCACCAATTTGACGTCTGGATCAGTTATTCAGAAACGCAAGAATTTACGTTTTTGGGGGAACTCATTTTATAAAGTGGAGGAGGGGAAAGAGAGAGGGGGTAGGAGGAGAGAGAAAAATCTATTTCCCACTTCAACAATTTGAGTCTCGGAGATGCAATTTTCTCTACTTATGAATTGGATAATTGTCTTGCCTTGATTTCGCCGAATGTGATATTATTTACTTGTTTATTCATTTATATTTTATTTTATTTTTATTTTTATTTTTTTTTTTTTTTAAGTGGGACTCTGTGACAGTTCAATTGATATTACTTACCAGTTCTTTTGGCGTTGAGGTGACCGTACAGCCGTGAGAGATCAAGGGCCTCTGCGGAGGGGTTGTAAGACAACACGTACAAAATCACAGCAACGGTCGCAATATACCCGGTCATCGTGACTTTTCCCGTGAAAGAACCCGCTTCAACACCAACTTCCCCGAACTCCGCCCCGAAGACCGAAACCCGGAGAGAGAGAACCGGCGCAAAAAATACTCGACGAGGCAAAAACCAAAATAAAATACGGGTCCGAGTGTAGATCCGAGAGAGGCGTCGAGGAGTGAAAGTTGACGTGAGGGTAGAGGGTTGTTTCTGGCGGACGGCACACGTGCAGCTGTAAGCGCGGCTCGGGCGGTTTGAGGTGGCGCCGCGGCGCGTAGACCTGGTGACGTCACTGTCACCCCAGGCCAATCACGACAGTGCGCGGGAGTATTTTGATGCTCCAGTCGCGGTCGACCTACCCTCCGATACCCTTCACCTTCCGACACCAACGGTGACGTTTTCCCCCGATTTTTGACCATGAATTCCTCGTGGTGTCCAAAAGTTGTGGCGGCAGCGGGGAGGGGGCAAAGATAGCAATATTTTTAAAGGAGGGGGGGGGTTGTTATGGCGAGTGATTTGTTTGCAAATTTTCCGGAGACCCGAAAGAGGCGATCATAAAATATGTAACTCTGAAAATCGACTCATAAACCCCCTCCCTCTCTACCTTCTAACCCTCATGTGATGCAGGTCTGCAGCCCCTACCCCCTTAAAAAGTTACCTCATGGTCGGTTCGCAAGTCTCCCCCTGAAATCGAAGTTTTTTAATGATTTAATAGTAGATGAAAAATATTCAACTCGCGTCGATTTTTCATGCTGATCTCAGTATTACTGAATATAACCCTCTGAACTCTCTCACTGAAAAAAAATTCTCGGCGTTTTTACGAAGGTCCGTTGGTACCTTTACCATCTCACTTTTTTCACCAATTATTGGTAATTTTGCCAAGACAAACTGGTAAGTTTACCTAAAAACCGGTATTTTTACTGTTTTTTCCACGTGAGAATACCACTTTTATTGGTAATCAATTTCCTGTAACTTTGCCATTTTATCTCGGTAATTCTACCACAGTCGATAAAAAATATTGGCGTTTTTACGGGGGATCAGTAAAATTACCGAGACAGTCAATAATTTTACCGAGATTTCTCGGTAAAATTACCAATTCCGTAAATGATAATTTTACCAAGAAAAAACTGGGATCAAATAGAACCCTGAATTCTTGGTAATTTTACCCTTTTCTTAGTAAATACACCGAAATTTTCTTTCAGTGCTCCTCTACCGTGTAATGCACCTGTAAGGCAGGTCCAGATCCCTCTCTCCCCTGGAGCCTAACTCGATTTATTATTTATGACACCCTGAAGATATCTTGTTCAGTCTGCAGGACACCCGACCTCGACACTCACATTTTGTAGCCTCCATTGGCCCAATGCGCTTGGCACATACAATTTTTGGAATCTCCGATCTCTGGTTTTTTGTCTACTCTGGTCAAAAAGAATTTTAGCCCAACTTCCAAAAGTGGAGAAGAAGGGGCTACAGCCCCTGATGTCCCATACATGCGCCAACTGTGGGTCCAGCTGCTTCATAATTTTTACATTCAAGCAAAGGGAAATGCAAGACGGTGCGCAAAATTTCATGAAAAATAAATTATTAGTATAAATTTACTTTTATCATTTGAATAATTTCAGACGCATCTTATCTTGAAAACGCGGAAACCAACACGCATCAAGATATTCACACACAACACTAAGAAAAATTATTTATCAATTATTCTGAAAGTAAGACGGAAATGTTTCACCTTTTAAACATATCCGGATGAAATCCCTTTGGATTTTCTGAAAAATTAAACATTCGTTCGGGGACGTCCCGTAAAGGGGTGGCGGCAGGGCGTTGACGAAGAGATGTTGCGGTGTCAATTGCCCGATAACCTCTGGGAGACAGGCATATGTGGCGTTTAGGTGTCGCAGGACGCTAGAGTGCGTTGTGGAGCGACTTTATATATATATTAAACATTCGTGTCTTTTTTTACTGAAATCTCCGGTTATTCTTCAGTGCGTGGACTGAAACATAAATTCAACGGTACCTGAAAAGCCTCGCTTCTTCACGCTAATAGGACTTAACGCACCGAGAGAGAAAGCCAAGGGAATGGTAAGTGAAAAGAATGTTCATTTGAGACATTATTTATCTTTGAAATTTCCCGGAACACTACTCTCATTTTCTGGGCGAATTTGTATTTATTTGGTTGTCGAAAAAATCTGCCGTGTCAATTAGTTTGTCTAGTAGTATCTGCTTCATACTCTCAGCATTCTCCTGCGAAAGTCGCTCTGTGGAAAACGGAAAAAAATGAGGACAATGAACCGCTCTCAGAACATTAATTCTCATCTTACAGTCTGGTATAAGGCGAGTAAAAATATTGTTCAAATTTCTTAATATATATAGAATTCCAGCATCAATCGAATACATGTGTTTCAAACCTAAAAGAGAAGGTATCAGAGGACAAACCCAGATCTTGCGATAAATCTAATCCTGGTGATACCGTGTCGTTAGCTCGAGCATTTTTTTTGCTAACAGATAAAATAAAAAAAAGTTATTTGATGGTTTAGTTTGCATGAGGAAAACTTGAGTGATCCTCTTCTCGACGTGTACAATAACAATTAATATAATTGCAATCGCAATCTGCTGAACGCCGTCTATTCAATTTGAATTAATTTTGCGAATGTTACTCTGCGGAACGTCCTTATAGTATTTTCTATACCAGGACGTAAAATATTTCAGCCTAACGCTTGTCTCCACGGAACGTTTCATGGGCTTTGTCCCAGGCAAAAGTTTCATTTGTGAAGTTGGGAAAATCATTGAGGTAGTTGATACTAATCACAGCGCCAATTGGATTACATTTTGCAATAAGGAACCACTATCTCTGGCTCCTATGTAAAAGCACCTCTCTGCATAGGGGAACCATTCATTGGAATGTTTGTTGTTTCTAAGATGAGCTGGTAATAGTGGTTCCTTAGTGCAAAATGTGGTCCAATTAAGGTCCTCGTGGGGTCCTAAGAGCGACTCAGAGAGAAGGAGAAGACATTTTGTTACTTTGCCTGACGAATAAGAAGCCCAGAGGTTTCATTCCTACGATTCGAACTTGGAACGAATCCCATGAAACTCCCCGCGATGACAAGGCGTAAATGAAATGAAAAAATTGCTGGCGCCACGATTATTAACCAAAGCTGCAAAATTTTGGGCGGATGATGATGCAAGAAAGTGAAGGCGCGATGACGCAAAGCGTGAGCTCTCAATGCTCTGTTATATGCTGCCAATCATAGGTCATCCATAGGTCTGCCAATCATGGTGTCGCTCAGATTCGGGAGAAAAGTTAAAAAAGAGGCCCGAATACCTACATCCCTCTTACCTTCGGCTGTTTTATTCAAGTAGTGCTTTAAGCACCATTACGAATAAGACAAACGGAAACAAACACAATATGGAAATAGAGGGAGAGAACGGATGCGCGTTTACGACGGCGCAGAGATACAACTATTCGTACTTGATGGACGTCCGTGCTGCATTTGAAAAATTTAAGGCGCGATGACGCGAAACGCGAGCTCTCAATGTTCTGCTATATGCTGTCAACGAGGTGTCGCTCAGATTCGGGACAAAAGTTAAAAATGAGGCCCGAGTACGTCTTGCTTGTCTTCGGATGTGTTGAAATTCGTTCTTTCTTCTTTTTTTAGGTTCTTGTCTGATTCTTTTTTAGGATGAATTTGTAGACCCACGTCTTGAGCTTGTGTAAACCGCAGCACTGGCGCGGTTCTTATGAGAATAATGGTGCTTGGATGAGTCTTGTGGCTTTAATTTTTTATGTTTTCTTTAATTTCAGAAGTCTGTCGGTCACTTCAATACGTTCAATTTTACAATTTTTACTCTGTGCGATTAATAAACTTTGAAAATAGCGTAAACTTGTGCTGCTTTGCCAAAATGTTCTGAACTCCTCTCCACGTAGGGGATGCAGGCCCGCCACAAGGGGAGGGATACTGGGTCCCTGCATGGTACCGGGGCCCGTGTTACCCGTGGAAATCCACTACGAATTCACATGCAACCCTTGTTTCGTAAGAAAAAGTGAAAAATTTACCCTAGGAATTTCACAAAAGGTGAATAGATTTTCAGAAACACGCTGGGGCACTGTAGAATTCTTCTTAAATGTTCAAAGAAGTATACTTCTTAGAAAATTTCTTTCTATTTTCAAGATTTTCAGTGCAGAAGAATATTTTTAGTAACTGCGTTTCATTTTCTTCCGTCGTCAGATGCTAAGAGTCACCAGTCTGGGCATCCTCGACTTCAATGGCTCATGGCTCAACTCCCTTGCCATAGACAAACGAAGGGTGAGTCCAGGGGGGCCTGGCCCTCTTAGAACTGAAAATAGTATCATATCCCCCCCCCCAAAAAAAAAATAATAATTTTCCAGATGTTTTGAATGCAACAATGCGCACGTATTTTGTGCTGAAAGTAGAAAAAAAAAAAAAAAATAATTATTCCGCAGAAATTGATGGAAAAATTCTTTATGGAAGCTTGACAATGCGTCCGATTAGTCGTATGAATTCTAAAATTTCTCGGGGGATGCCCCTCGGACCCCCCCCCCTCCGTGCTTGGGGCCCGGACCTTAAAACTGGTACCAGGGCTCGAGATGGGATGTGGCGAGCCTGCATGAAGGCTATTTCCATTTAAATCTTCCGCCCCATTCATACGGCGCAATGATACAACTATTTGAACTCTCCGGAATGCGTGAGGTATCACGCCGCATTTGAAGGCGTTTTCAAAACAGCCAAGTCCCGATACCCGGATTATCGTTTTGCATAGTTCATATTATTTTGTTATATTCCGTACCACTCGTTTATTTTTAATCCTCGTAGAAAAACCACCCATTTGTAAATACAATTCTAGCTGGTATTTCTAGCTCCTGGTATTCCAATGGCACGGAAATATTTTGTAAATACGGCCCATCATGCTCTCAGGTTCATTGAAACATTTTACTCTCAGTGGCAAGATGTGCAGCTGAGCACAGTAGAATCGCATCCGTTTACATCGTATACCTTGCACTGTAACAAAGAGGGAGACTGTTCACAAGATTCGAGATATTCGTACTGTGTAAGTGTGCAAGTAAGTTAAAGTAGAATACCTGATGGTTATTCTGACACCACAGAAAGGCACTTTTCTTAAAATAATTTTTTTGGAATGAAGGCGATTGGAAGGTGTATTCGAAAATAATGTACCTAGTGTACAAGTTTCACAACGATCCGAACGAAACACTTTGACGGCTGACGGTGGGATGAGCCGTCAATTTAAATTACCCGCTTGCTCCACTAGCATTTCATTGGTTCATTCGAAGAGTTTTCATCAACATCAACATAACCTCACTTGTGGATCGTAATCTTTAGAGTCCAAGACAATTTGAATCCATTTCTGATTGGTTCCCGTATTTTAGGCCTCCGCAGTGTCACAAATGGGAATAAAGATTACATTTTCACCAATTGCAAAGATTATAATCTGGAATGGACCAGGGAATTACGGGTTCGGCAAGGAACAAACGGAATGAGAGGAGGAACGGAGAAAGGCATTTGAGAATGGGCCGATCAAAGATTACGAAAAACGTTCAATTTCTGTAATCTTTATTCCCGTTTGTGACATCCATGAGCCGAATTGTCTTGACTCTCAGTATGAAGGGACTCTAGTAATCTTTAGAGTACCTGTATAGGGAGAGTAGCGACAGATCGGTTCATGGAGGGCTTAGGGCCCAAAAGTGCAGCCACCCTTCTGAGCAACTTCTAACACACAAAATTTCACTGCCAGCCTACAGATTTCAATTCTAACCAAGATGGCTAAGAATGTATATAAATGAGCGTTCTTTCGCAAAAATAAGTAAATTTATGCAAAAAGTAAACCAAATACATGCTTTCTAAACGACGGTTCGTAACAATTGTATTTGTAAATCGCTCTGGACATTCGAAATTCATAGGTTGGCTGCCCTTTTGGGCCCTAACTTTATTCGCGGAGGCATCGGTGAAGGCCTGATGGACTTTCGGAGTTTCAGATCTGTCGCTACTCTCCCTATACAGGTACTCTAGTAATAGTCCAGGCGCCTGGTAAGTCTACCTGGAATTTTGGGTACACAGCGATTTTTTTGGCCTACTTTATGTTTTTTGGGTCGCTGAATCCGAATCTGAAGTTTCCGCAGGCGTATCTGGTGAGCATTTTCCGCTATTTTGAAAAAATGGCCTAAAAAGGCCTTTTTTTGCGGTTTTTTTGATATAGCGGCTACGGATGAGCAAAAGTCCCGGATTTAGCTAATGTTTTGAATAGCTGACATAATTTGGAAGAAAATGGTATATACATATGTTAGGTTTGCTTAAAAATTGAGGAAGATACAGCATCGTGAACATCGCGCCTATTCACGTTTTCGCGGCGCACCCGTCAACGCGCGATCCGGCTCGCCGCGGTCAGCCAAGTTCCGAAGCGTTCTAAAGTTCCGAAATCCGAGGTTCCTCAATTTTTGAGCAAACCTAGCATATTTATATACCATTTTCTTCCAAATTTTGTCAGCTATTCAAAACATTAGCTAAATCCGGGACTTTTCCTCATCCGTAGCCGCTATATCAAAAAAACCGCAAAAAAAGGCCTTTTTAGGCCATTTTTTCAAAATAGCGGAAAATGCTCACCAGATACGCCTGCGGAAACTTCAGATTCGGATTCAGCGACCCAAAAAACATAAAGTAAGCCAAAAAAATCGCTGTGTACCCAAAATTCCAGGTAGCCTCATTTTTAGCTACCAGGCGCCTGGACTATAATCTTCAAGGTACACTCTACTACAGGTATGGACAAACGGGGTGCCGAAGTGGCAGCGCTGAGAAAATCGGCGATCGAGTGACGTATGAAGTCGTACCGTCCATTTGCCGCGCAGGTCTTCTCAGTCGTACTCTCGATGCTGTCAAATCTACGCGTTTTGACGACTTTCTAAAATTCCATTTGTCCATACCCATACCTAATCTTCAGCTGTGAGCTGTCAGCCATTGCTGCCATTGTCAGCTCTTGTGAGTGCGCTTACATAAACTTTAAACTTTTGCATAAACATTTTTCGGTTACTCGTGCTAATCTCTTCAAAGTGAAAGCTGAGAAATGGCCGATTGCTTTTTCCACCTCTCACTCATCAGCATCACGGAAAGACAAGAAAAAAAGGTAGAAGGATAGAGGGAAGTAGCGGTCCCAAGAGGTGTATTAGGCGTTTGGATGACTCGACTCGACACGTCGACATACTCTTTCGACATCGTCGTTTTCTTGCCTGTGATCTGCAACGTATATTTCACCTACTAAAACACGATTACTGAACATCCCCTGCCCCTGCATTCAAGGGTAAGTATAATATTATATTTTGGTTGTTTGTACCATGCACTGTAGTGTCCATACTAGAAATGCGGCCAGCTGCCACTCTGATCGACAATAATTATATTCTTCTACGTTGTATCTCTACTTGGGAACATTCAAGTGTCATTCATATTTCTTCAATGATATTATTCTTTTAAGCTCAGGGATGAAGAGCACCTACCTCTGCCACTCAATTTGCAAACTTTTTTTCTCATTGTCCTGTTTTCAAGAACTATTTGGTATCGATACTGCCTTTTCATTCCATGGTTGTTTATATCGTTTCACCCTATTTAGATGATCCTTTGAGTACCTCATCAGAGAACGTCCCATATTTCTGTAATAAAATTATTATAAACGCATGGAAATTTTTGAAACATGCAATGAAATAAGCATGAGCACTTGTAGATTCACCATTGTAATGCTGTTGCTGACCAGACCAGCGTCCCAATTTTTAAAACTATGTCAGCTTGACAAGACAAGACACAGCCCTATCTTAACAATGTAATATATCTCACTTCAATATCTCATTGGCCCGCTATAATTTTTTAATAATCAGTTAACAAATGCCCAACTCCCTCTCTATGGACTTTTACTCAAGTATATTTCACAATGATATCAAGCAAATATGAATTATGAATTTCATTTTGGGGACCTTCTTTGGAAAGTCAAACAACTGGTCAATAGTCTCCACATGCTGATGGATCAGATATTGACGGTGTATGTCGGCAGTCACATAACTCGGTTTGCGACATCGCAGACTTCCTCAACGGCAATTCTTTAAAACTGCTGAGATTTTTCTTCTCTGCGAAAAAAATTCTGGATAAATTTTAAGGAATGATGTCAATTTGTTCCCCTTCAAAAAAATAACATAGAGGCGGAGATTTTCAGACACCGCAAACGAGTTATGTGATTGCCAACTGACACTGTCGATGTGTCTGGTACTTAAGGACAAAACCTATCCAACATCACCAATTGGATTATACCTGGCCGTAAGCAAAATCGAGTTAAAGCGTGTCGTTAAATGATTGTGAAGTAAACTGCTGGATCATGAGCAGCATGGCTTTACGTGAATTTTCACCTTATTTACAGGAGTACAGTCTCGCCCAATAATCTGATTTTCATGAATATATAGTATGGAAACATGATGTTTTTGGCTATAACTGGACAGAAATACTCAAGGAAAGCCTTTTCCATAGGTGGTAATTCAGATCTCCCCAAAACCCTTACCCATGTGCACAATTGGTCGGTTGCATTCGTCATTGCCTTATTTACCTATTTCGGCTTGCTTTATTTTGACTAGGTTTAAGTAAAATATTTTTTCCCTTCACTTATAATGTGATTCAATCGTGTAAAGACTCATTGGGTGAATTTTGCCCAGGACTTCCATTAAAAATCCCATTCCATGAATAAGTACATGAGTACATTTTCTTTCCTAAGAAGGAAAACCACTTATTTCAATGCTCCTCTGATGATCCCTTGTTCTATCATTAGGCTAACCTGCAGACCTGATCAGTCATAAGGGTGATGCAGGGCTTTTGAATTTCCCTGTCTAATTGCAAAATCTGCCAATTGATTTTGATTTAATTGCAATCACTGTCCCTTATTCAGGTACATTTAGACTGCATTTTGCAATTAAGAACTATAATTTCTGGCTCAGTTTAGAAACAACGTATGTACCATCAGTTTCCTTATGCACATACGTGTTTATACAGATAAGCCAGAAATTATAGTTCCGAATTGCAAAATGTAGTCCGTTTATCATACCTACATAGTTTACACCATACATGCAAGTTTGTCACACATATGTATCGTAGATTTTAAAGTTAGTAATGTACCTTTGTTCCTGCACACTCTGAATATTATGTCGGTTAAGTGCGAAAGACTTCCCTAATGTAAAATGTCACCAAAATTCTAGCACTTCTCGACTTTTCTATTTATGAGATCCCTTCTTTCTGAGAATTTAAGACCTGTACTTACGCTAATTTTTGTTGCAGATAATGGAGTTTGATTGCAGAAGACTACCCTTAGTCTCACTGGAGCTGTTCCAGGAAAGTTCTGAATTTTTCCCATATAGTCACACTCAAGATCCAGTAGACACAGGTTAACTCTAAAATCCTAGAAATTAAAAGATTCACCGACATGTTAAGTATAAGTAGGTAAGTTATTTTTATTCATAAAAATCAGAAAGATACATATGAAGGGCTAGAAGGACAAGGCACATAAGTGCAGTTTTTGCTATCTCAAGAAATTTGTGTATACCTAAAACATACATAATGTATGTACACGCAATTTATACCAAATACTCAGCTGAATGTCTCTAAATAAATTAAGTAACCAACTAACTAACTATTTGTATGTACATACAAATAGTGATGAATTTTTCACAGAATATATTTTGAAACTGTTCTCAGTTGAAATCATTGATACCTATCTCAATTAATTTTTCATAAACAGCACTCGTGCCCATTGTCTTCCGAGCCCTTCATAAAGAACGTGAATATTTTCACTGGTTTTCAGAGTATGAACAGTTCTTAAAGAGGAACTATCCCTGACCATTCCTGAAGAGGTCTATTCAGTTTATGTTCAAGTAGATAATTCTGCAGAATTTATAACTTGATCATGAGAAATTTCAACCTAGTTTTTACTCTGTACACAGCAGAGTGAAGAACCTTAAAAATTCTTTGATGCTCATAGTTTGTGAGGTACCGTATAAAAATTTAATTCGAAAACAATGAGTAACAGGATTTATACTTTTAGAAAAATGTGACAAGAATGTAGAAGTGTTACCCAGCAATCAGTACATCTGTTTTCGAAAATTGGTCACAGTATAGTTGAATCACTAAATACAAAAAGGGCACATGTCCAGAAAACCAAATTGTTCAGGAGACACAGAAAACTGTTTATTTCGTGGTAGATATTTTTTTAAACATGACGACTTTCCAAAAAATATCTACCATGAAATAAACAGTTTTTTGTGTCCCCTGAACAACTTGGTTTTCTGGACATGTCCTCTTTTTGTATTTAGTGATTCAGTTTACATTAACATTATGTCATTGGAAGATTAACTGAAATTTTAAAAGAGATTATTTTTTAGAAATTTTTTAAAGAGTTATACTTTCTGAATTAGATGTATCACCGCTTAATTGCAGAGAAATTGAAAATTTATTTTATTTTGATGACACTATTTACTGTCATCATGGGTCGTTGATGCAAATCATGTATCTTTCTGACACATCAAACTCATCTTGGTGGTTGTTCAAAATCGGCATTTATTGACTAAATAATGTACAAATATTGCAATTACATAGTGAAAAGTTGCCATTCCATTAAATCACAATCTCAATATTTTAAATGCACTACGCTACTCGGAAAGTTGGTCGACCATTTTGGCGCGTCCTATAATTTGGTGTGAAAGAACCCATGCAATGCAATGTAAAATAGTCTCAAAGGCACAATATTTCCTGCCCGCAATGTCTGGACTCTACCCTTCAGTCATTTTAAGGATGAAGTCTTGTATACTTTTGAATTTCATATATCAGTTGCTAAAACTTGGCTTAAGTGGGAAACCACCCATTTTGACTGTGTTGTTTCAAAATTCCTGCCTCTATTTTACGGTTTTTGGGGGAAACTGTACCAGAATTTGCAAAGAATATCCTGCAAAGATAGAAATAACTGTTTGGGAAATCTAAAGAAATCACATTAATCATGTGTCTCAGTAATAAAATGAAGTGTAACGGGGAGTCCTCAACTCACATAGAACTATCACATGTGTTCCCGTATTCAATGAAGAGCATAGGGGGTTCCACACAAATAATAACTTACACTTATTTTCAGCGCTATCCCGTAAAACATTTTTTTTCCCAACCTTAGACACCACTTCCATGAAAAAAATATGTTAGTTGTCCTATCACAAAGCATGCACTGTATTGTACCTAGATGTTTTTCCCAATTTTTTTTTTTTTTTTTTACTTTTTTGGCCCAATCTCTCTCACTGCTGTTGTGAGAGAAGTTTGTAAAGTGTCATGGCAGCTGTCATATTATGGATTTGCTAACTTACCTGTCTATTTGTCCCAATCATATCTTGTCAATTTCTATCTTACTGTTGTCTAAGATCAATCAATCTCTTTTCAAAAGAAGCTTGGCAAAGAGAGCGCTAAAAACAGAGGTTTGAATTTTTAACTTCCAAAATGAAATGATGTTCTTTTCTTTTTTCATCCCTTTCAGTTTTCAAATGGAACATGTATACTCCGTGGAGACCCCTTTTTATGCGTTGTATTCAGGAAAAATACTTGACAAAATCAAGAAAAATATTGGCTGAAATAGGACCTTGTCGTGTTTGGATTGATTTTCCTCCAGTTTCAAAGGATTTTTCCTAGATTCAATCCTCGTTTTTGCCAACTTTTAAGAAGATTTGTAACTCTTCAGGTAATATTTTTAGTATCTTTTTCAGTATTAATGCTGGGTCAGATACTCAGAAATTCAGTTTGTGCTACAGCTGAATCAGAAAGATTTATCATCACTTGGTCTCGCCTGGAAACGCTCTGGAAACCTCAATTTCCCCAATTTACTACTTCCATTTTCAGGGTTGCTGGCGATCTTAAAAACCAGGAAGATCAGATAAGTTGTGGAAAAGTCAGGAAATTTCTGACATATCTTACTGAAACGTATCTCAGATCTTCCAATTGTTTACCCTTTCTGATCATTTATAAGGCTTGTCATCTTATAACCAGCTACTGAATGTCGTTTCCCATAATTTGATCTCCAAGTAAGGAAATTTCGTCAAAATTCTAGCGAAAGGCAGAGTGATATACCTAAAAAAAAAGATAAAAATCCTGGGTGGAAATGGGAAAAGGAAAGGAATCAAAAGATTTTGGAGTTGTTAAAAACTGTTAAGAGTTAAAAGAAAAGTGTATTCTCGGCTTGAAGTCAACTTGAGCGTTGTAAGGACTAACCATGGTTCCTTTCCATGTCACTAAAGTGCCATTTGTCAGTCATCATTAATCTAAAATTTTATATTCCTTTGCCTTTCAAAGTGATTGATGACAAATCCATAAATTTGAGACTCCTTAATATATTTTAATTTCTCTTCCCTCTCTTTTTGTTGATGCATACATATAAGAGACTAAATGGGAAGCTCAAAACTAATAAATCGACGGTGTAAGTCGGCAATCACATAACTCGGTTTGCGACGCCGCAAACTTCTTTTCATACCTTATTTTTTAAACGGAAAACTACTCAACGGCAATTCTTCAAAAATGCCATGACTTTTCATCTCTAGGTAAAGAAATTCTGCTTAAACTTCAAGGAATGATGTCGATTTGTTCTCCCTTAAAAAAATAACACAGAGGCGGAGGTTTTTAGACACCGCAAATGAGATATGTGATTGCAGACTCATGCTGTCGAAATGGGTCACTCAATGGACCATTAGACAAGGAGTAAAGTTAAACACTAAGATGTATGATCTCTCATCAAAATTTTTGAACCTGATTATTGCGACGAAAATTATTGAAAATAACTGCGGCTAAATTTTTCAGGGAAAGCCGTGAGTAATCTCTTTGACCTTAATTGCACACTAAACTTTACAGTCACAGTTTACAAGGTAAAAAAATATTGCAACCTTAATCTCAGCACTTCAACTCAGCTGTTGTACGTTGTTTGCAATTTAAACAGCACCACTTTCATTGATTCTCTTTCGAATTACTAAAGCTGGAAATGAAAGGAAGGAAATGGACTGTAAGTTGGACCTATTTATGCTTAAAAGAACTACCCCTAAATGAATCAAATTTAAAGAAATTATGAACCACGCAAATCCTATGCGCATAGTTCTCATAGTTTTATTCATTTTTATCTAGTCTCTTTCTTTGTATGTATGACCAATTCATGTCAGGTTCTACCTGATTCAGGATATTATCAGGATTTTTCAGCGATGGACCAGCCTTTGCATGTAAGGGTAATGAAAGGGTTAAACCTTGAATCAATTCAAAGCTTGAAATTTTTATATCTATCCCGATCAAACCTTCGCCTAAAATGCTCACGTCATTTCTAGTCTAAAAATTCTAAACCTGGAATCTTTATGTGACTGTCCACAGGAAAAAGGATCTGAGTCCACAAGAAAGTGTTCTACAGAAGCAGTTTGAAGGAAAAAATGTCACATCAAGCTAGAGTTACGATGGCTCGAAGTATGCAGTTCGAAGAAAAGACCTCAAAAAAAAGCTACTCGAAATTCTAATTTGCCATTTTCAGAACACAAAGTTGTTGTGGACCTTCAAGCCCTCTATCCGCTCAAAAATGAATTGAGCCTTTAATCCATGAATTGCAGCTTATTGGTTAAATAGTGTATAGTGCACAGGAAAAGAAATGCTGCGCACTGATGGAACATTAAAGTAAGTGACAACGTCTACTTTGATAGAGATTGTTTATCCGAAGTCAGTTCTTGATTTACTGTGCTCAACAATCACCTCAATCAATGCAATGTCTAGTTTTCGTCTTCGAACATCATTTCAGTGTCAGCTGATCGGTAATGTGAGCAGTTTCACTGCCATTATTAGGTTCTCACCCATGTATTCCATAGACAAAGGCTGTAAATTTTGAAATATTTCGGGAACTTGTGGGGGGAGGGGGGGGGGCTAGTATATGATTTACATTGTATTAGTTATTGATATCTGCTTCTTTTCTGTGGCCATAATGTTGTCATGGCAGTCATTGAACTATAATACTTCACTATCTTATCATTCTTTTTTGTAAGTTGTATTGCGTCTCAGGCTGAGGGAGAAATCCAGTCTTACAATTTTTTGATTTGGTATTTTCCTCCTGAATGGTACATCATTTGAATGTATATAGGACATAACTGTAAACCACAGGTTACCATCTAATACTTTTTAAAATGGTTGTACTTAGTGAAATTTCCAAATAGGTATAAAATATGAATTTTAACAGACAATTTTGATCACCCAGTTTCAATTTATCTGGATCTGAACTTTCATGAAAACTGAATCGGCTTATATGTATCAATGGAAACAGAGACAGATCGAAAACATAGCTCTGCAGCTTATAAGGACGGATTTTCAAGGTGTGGATTGGACGAAAAAGTAGACTGTAAAATAAGGAAGGAAGAGGGAGGGAGAAGTCAGTTATTCAAACTCGGTGACTTCGTAGTCACCTTTAGTTGAGGGCTCCTTTAATGCAGCTCTCCAGAACTTAAACATGGTCAACATAAATCTGCTGCTTAAAAAAAAAAAAAAAAATCATTGTAGGAAAGTTTCCTCACAAAGTCTTGCCTTGTTTTTAGTCGTACGGTATTCGGCCTCGCAGTGGCATCTTTCCGCGCACACAGGAAAAAGCCCGCGGATTCCGGGGTTTCGACCTTAGCAGGAGACAATGGCTGATCAACTATAAACATCAGCTTAGTGAACCCAGCGACTTGGCACCAACGCTGGGTTCACTGAGCTGGTTTACGGCCACCTGCTTGCGATGTTGTTTTGCCTTGCACTAACATAAAAGCATTCACTTATATTGATAATTAAATCGGAAAGATGGACAGATTAATGAGAGTCTTTTTTTATTTGGTTACTTTTCGCATTTCTGTACCTAACAACTTAAATTTACACCAACAGTGCGATTCCGCACTTTAACTTATGCTAATGATTAATTATTTTGGCGGCATATTTACAATTCATTTATTTTTCATATCATCACTATAAATCTTCACTATTAACATCTAACATTATTGTTAACATTTCTATATTCTAAAATAACACTTGTCTGCAAATTAAATGGTTAATTTGGCTGCAGTTTCAATTCTGGACGGTAAATCTGGTTGTTCTTGATTCCTAAATTTTCTGATTAAAGGTAACACATTTACTATTAATCGTTGCCATAAAGCATCTATCAACATCTAACATTATTGTTAAAATTGCTATATTCTAAAATTCTTGGCATGAAATCTTGCTACATTTACATTACATTCATAATTACATACCGGGGTCCTATGATTGTTCAGCCCCTCTCCTTCGCCGGACCTGGCCACGGTTCGTTTGAGTAAAAGCCAAACGAAATTCTCCATCACTCACAAAGTCCTTTCGAATCCGAAAAATAGAGTGAAAATGGAGCCCCTCCAGCTATAAATGAAAATAGGTTGTTTGAGCTCCTGGAGCAACATATCGCTTCCTGCACTTTTTGAGGCTTAGCAGAGGCTGATACGAAAATTGACTCAAAGTTTCTGTCCCAATCCCCAAACCAAGACAGCCATCGAAATGATCCTGGTCTCATTTCAAAACCGGTGCATCTTACCGTCGATTGAGTGGTCTGCAAGCCAATTCAGTAAAAAATTGACCAAGTTATGATAGTTTGAATGAAGGGCACTCAAAATAAGCTTTCTCGTCCTCCTATCCGAGCAAGGCTCCATTTTTTCTTCATTTCCCTTTAAGACTAATAACACTGGAGTCAATCTGTAAAAATTTCAGTATTTGTACTTCATTCAACTTTTACTCAAACGAACCGCGCGGCGCGATCCAGAACCCGGAATTTGGGACTCCCACCCGTTTCGTCCGCTAGTCTTACATGAGCCGCGTTTCGGCCGTAGGTATGGTCGTCTGGAGAATTGAACTGTCATATTACCGCGGAAATCTATTAAAACTAAGATTTTGAAATTCTCGCGGTAGTACCTTTCTTTTGCTCTCTTCTCTTCGTTTCTTCTTCTGGATTGTTCCTCCCACTCCATTGCTCTTGTCCACTCTCTTTCCTTTCTCTGCCTCTCAAAACGTTTTTTTTCCTTTTGCAGTTTCTTCAATTTTATAAGATCAATTGTTTCTGGAACAAAAAAGTGAACTGGTTGATTAGAGAGGAATAGATACCAATCCATGTAATGAAGTAGCTGTGAAGAATATACTCTCTCGGAACGGAAGATGATCATTTGGTGACGGGAAAAGAAATCCTATGATAACTTTTGTAATGAGTCTATTACTTTACTCATCAGTATAAACCTTCTACAATGACATAAAATCTCATCTTCTTATGAAAATTAAATATCATCGATACTAACATCCTGATTTCAAAGATGAAAAATAATTGTCTATCTCTAGATGTGTCTGTGTCTTACGAAACGAATTATCCCGGGAGTGAAATAAATGGAACCTCTAAGAAAGGTTACTGTTAGCAAATGCCACTATTTATGCTAAGACCACACCCTATTTTATTACCATGGAGTTGGACCATTGCTTATTTTACTTCCATTATGTTACAAATGGTAATTTCCTTTAACTGTAAAATCATTCTCATCTCTCTTCATGAACTAGGTAAGAATAGTCTCATATGACACAGAAGATTCCTGTGATTTTTCATCTGCTTTACAATGTTAGCACACCACTGTCCTGGGGTCCACCGCGACATTTCGAGGGTCCACTGCTCTAAACTGCTTGTTCGGCTTCTTTGGGCTGCCCGATGCCATAGGAGCCCTTCTCTTCGGTACGGTCACCTTGCTCTTCGAACTGATGGTGACTTAGAAAGTAGGAATAGGTCCAGGATTTTTATGGATTCTTGAGCTTTTTGATCCTTTGGAAGTTCAGGGTAAATTCGGGGTTTTCAGGGTTTGAGGTTGAGCTCCGACCAGGTACCTCGATCGGCGCTAGGCTCTGACCAGGCGTCCTCTCCTACTTCCTCCATTCCCCTCCTCTACGACCACCATTTCGCCGTCCTTTCTGCTCGAACTGCCTGACAAATCTTGTGTGACTGCGTTGCCTCTCAAGGATGTACGCTAGCGCTAAGGTGGCTGTAATATCTAATACGATTGTGACCGCGTAATGAGCTAGGTGTTTTGGCTCGGTGTTGTCAGTTAGTGTTTGTAGCTATTCTTGTAATTGTTTCAACTCGCTGTCATTAAGTTCGAGGTGTTGTGATACGTGGTGCAGGTGGTCTAGGAAATCACTGCAAGGCCAGTTATACGTTAATACACATTTGACGAGACGTGGACATTCCTTTCTTAATTATGCTCTCCGACGCATGGGNGGGGGGGGGGGGGACCTTCGACGAGTCGGCAGGTGGGCTACCCGTTGTGGAACCCACGGCAGGTGGAGGGAACCCTATCGACGAGTCTGAAGGGGAGGGGGAGCCAACTGATAGTCGAGGGCACTAATCAGTCGGCTGGGAAATCTCCCTGAGACGGTGCACCGATGGACTTTTATACTTTCGGAGAGTTGGTCAAGACCACGAGATCGTTGGCTGCGCAGTGTAAACACTACCGCAGTCAATGCCAATTGAGCGCTCTGACGTCAACCTCCAAACGTACACAAGACCAAGAGTGCACTGCTCTTTACTCTCATGACATGCCCCTCTCTGAAAAAAAAAAGTCGTCCCGACTCTCCCAGTGTCCATATCCCTCTATACATTTTTTTGTATTAAAAAAATTCTTTTTTTTTTTTTACATAAACATTTTTCCTTCTTTTTTCCTTTTTTTTTCTTTTCAAAAAAAAAAAACAAATGGCACATAATGAAAAGTTGAGTTCGGAGCTTGGCAACTGGAGTCGAGGAACTGAAGAACCGCGGTCTTGAGGCTCCATTGACTGTGACGTTGCATGGACTTGACTTGTGCGGATGGCATTTGACTTGAACCAGGCTGAGCAGGCGAGGACCTTGTGTGTGCCGTGACCGACACGCCGCTAACTCCATCTTCCTCACCATCCAGGGCGGCAGCGCTTTGGATGGCGCCCTTCCAAGATACTCCTCGATGAGACTCTCCACCATCCAGGCTGGAGTCTGCAGCTTGGCGTCGGCGACTTTGATTATCATCGGCCGCCGAGGGGAGCCCCGCAAGGACTGCGGACGCAGCGTGGAGGACGGAGAGGCGATGGGGGAGAGGATGACGATGGAGGGGGACACAAGGTTGATGGGTGAACTGAAGGCAGGAGGAGTAACGACGGGTCGGGGCGAGGCTTGTTGACGAGGAGCAGGTGGGGTAGGTGAGAGGGACGGAAGGAATGGGGACGACGAGGGCGGCGTCCGGATAGGCTCGGGGGTTTTCAAAAGGAGGTCCTCGATGTCAAGCGTCACTGGTGGTGGCTGGTGGACGGCGGGTCCAGGCCCGTCGACTGCCGATTGGCCCGGAGCCGCGGCTGATGCAGCTGGCCGGGGCCGAGGATTAACGCATTTCACTGGGATGCGGCTGACTCTCTTGGGTTACTTCAAAAAGCTAGCTGAGGTGGTGACCTCTATGGAGGGGTGGGCACACACCACTGTCCTGGGGTCCATCGCGACATTTCGAGGGTCCACTGCTCTAAACTGCTTGTTCGGCTTCTTTGGGCTGCCCGATGCCATAGGAGCCCTTCTCTTGGGCACGGTCACCTTGCTCTTCGAACTGATCCTTTTGGTGGGATCACCTTTTGGCTTCCTCTCATAGACCGAGTGGTGCGACGATGCAGGGGCGTCATATTTCGTATGATTTTAAAATATTAAAATAGTACTCAGAAGGAGTGTCGCTGGCAAAAAGAAGTTTGTCTGTGTCTATACTATTTACGTGGTTGAAAATTTTTATAATGGACATTTTAGAAATTTGGTACTGAGCTAATTTTAGAGCTTGCCTTAAACTTTTCTGGTCTGTCGGCATCCACTTGTACGTTGACTCCAACCACAAATGACTGTCAAAGAATCTTGCTAACGGTGTGGCTGCCGAGTTCATCATCATGTTCAGTGTTGTTTCGCCCTTGTGCTACCTTTGCCTTTGTCCGATTTGTCCGATGTCGATGCCCGCGATACTTTCTTCTCTGTCCCCTCCAGCTCGGATATCTCCTTGGCCTTCCGATCTATAATCCTCTTGATCGTTTGCAGTTCGGTGTCCAGCGGAGAATTGAAGTGTATCAAAGCTCTCGTCCGCGCACTCCTCCACCAATTCATCCTGTCCTCGTTTACCACCTCGGAGAAGGGGTACACTTCTATTTTGACTATTTCGTACCCAATCTCCCCCTTGGTGGTTAATCTTAAGGATGTGCCGCGATCTTGATGACAAATATATTGGGATATTACGCCATCTTTCGATACCGATGTTTCGTGTGCAAGTGCTTGATCTAGCCACCCACTTTCCAAATCTACTCCTGACGACCTTCGTGACGTAGCATCGGCATGTTGAGTTGAAGTAGTCGCATGCGTGACATATGTGCAGGTGGTTTCCGTGGCTGGCGGCGATATAAGTTCCCGCTCTAAGTTTAGCCAGGAGTCGCACGCATAGTTCTTCACCGCTTCGTCCAAATCTATTCTGGTAAATGTCGTGTAGAAAGGTTCTTTTTCCATTAATTGTTCCAAATCCTGCCATCCACACTTGCGTAGCTGCTTCCCTTGCTTCTTGAGATTCTTCATTTTCAACTCCCAAGCCCTCATTATCTTCAAGAGATCCTTCTGTTGGGGATCCGCAAGCTCCGAATAAAACATCGGGTGCGCTATCATCCCGCGAAGTTCGTCTATAACACGAGGCAGGGGAGCTAGCCCCTCGTCGGCGAATGCGATCAGCTCCTGTAAAGTTTGAGCCAACGGATGTGTCTTCACTTTGTGTCTCCTCTGCTCCGCTCGTTTTTTCTCCGAAACTTTTTTCTTCTCTGCTTTCATCGTCAATTCTTCGTCTTGTAACGCTTGCGTTGCCACGAACGTCGGTTCCGGATCCTCCTGCTGCTGCCATATGAGCAATTCTAAACATATTTCGTATGATTTTAAAATATTAAAATAGTACTCAGAAGGAGTGTCGCTGGCAAAAAGAAGTTTGTCTGTGTCTATACGATTTACGCGGGCTGCTGCCGTCTCATACCCCTCGTCCATCGGTTCGGACTTAGCCGCTGCGCTCGCGGCCGCCGTGTAAAACTATGCATATGGGGGTCCCTATGTAGGTAGGATTGGACTTAGAAAAATCTCTGCTCTTTGCCGCTGTAGGTAGGACGGACTCGGGACTTAGAAAAATTCGCTCTGCTCCTCGCCGCGCGGCGTGGACCTTTCGATTAAAAGAGGGCCGAAAGAGGCGCCCTATCCGCCCGGATGGTGCGCCCCGAGCCTGTCCCGTCTGCGGCCCTGGGGTGGGATGGTGGGCAATCTAACGTCGCGCCGGCGAAGCAGGCCGAGAGGCTGGCTTGGAGAGCCTAGTAACATCCTCCGTGGAGGTAACATCGAGCTCTTCACTTGACGAAGACATCTGAAAAGAGAAAAAGAAAAAGAAACAACATTATTTAAAGAGCTTAGTTGCCTCGTCCGTATCCTCGCCTAACTTGACTCGTAGGAAATTTAGTAGAGCTTCCGCCGGGAAGGATTTTGTTTGTCTCAGTACTTTTTCAACTTGTATGTCTTCGTCTATTTTTAATCTTCTTTCCAACTGCAAAAACTTTAGGATCTCCTCGTAGGATAGCTTGAATGTGACGGTACCGATTATCAGGGTGAAGGTATGCATGGGGGATTTTTACACATGTTGTCTCATCAGTAGTTAAATTGACGGTTCAGAATCAAGCATTTAAGGAGGTTATTGATAAGCAAATAAAATGTTTAAATAATG